CTTATTTCTCCATATGATTAATGTTATCTTAAAAATGTTAAATACAAAATATTTTCTAAAATATTTCATCCATATTTCAGTCCCTCTTTGCTAATTCTAAAAGTTATTGTTTTATTTGATCCTTAATTAAGGCAAATCTAGTCAGCAGAAACCCAAATGTTAATGTACTAGACTCAATACTGTATCAAAATTGCTGTAAGTACTCCCCCAAAGTAGTACTCCCTACATCAGATAATAATTATCATAACGTCCAGTTTGACTCAAAGTACCTTTTGCAATATGGTGTTACTTAAAGCAATGCTCTAAAAATACCCAGAGCAGGATGGCACTCAGCAGCAGGGGAGCTTTGGAAAAATTCAAAACCACAGGTGTTCCACTCAAAACAGTGACAGCCCCAAGCTGAGCCCTCATCTGGACTCTGACAAAAGCCTATTTTACCATCAGCTGAAGCTGCCTAGTTTACAATGGAGCAGGCGGGGTCTAATGCAAACCTGTAGCTGAACGGCTTGCAAAATTGGCTTTCTTTTCATTTCAAAAATTCAATGTGATTCTTCTAAATTGGCGTCCAGTCTTTTCATGCTGCCAATTCCCAATTATCCAGCAGCTGATTATCCAGCATGTGGTTTGCTGGGCCTCTTGCATTTCCTAAGTATACCATATTTGCTGCCTACTAAAAGTCCTACCAATTACTGCTGGACAGTGGGATATTTGTAACTCAGAACCGCCAGTGTCTTCTAATAGTGGGAAAAATTGTCTCCCAGATGACATTTGGCAAGGTCTGGTGGTATTTTTTTGTTGTCACAGCTTCAGTGGCAGGATGTTACTTATATCCCAAGATACAAGAAATGTTCTGTAAGTTCAAGACTTACCTTACACAAAGCATCAACTTACTGAGGGGGTAATAAACCAGGCCCTAAACCCAAAATGTTTTAGAATATCAATATACTCATGGTTTTAAAATATGATTTTTGACTTCTGTGAATTCAGCTCTTGATAATTACTACCTGTGTGCTATTCCTACTTAGGATTTCAGGTGCTCATCTTCAAAATATTGTATATTCTTTCTAGAAATAATTTTATTTCTATAATAATGATAGAATATTATAGAAATTTATATTATAGAAATTTTATTTCTATAATAATGATCCCGTTGATCGTCGATTTGCTCGAGCGGGCCCAGTAACGTCTCCACTGGAGACTTTGTTGTTACTGTGTCTGGCATATCGAATACTCTCGGTAGCTTGCCGGGCTCTCCGAGAGGGGCGGAGGAATCGAACTCGGGTCGGCCATGTTGGCCGCTTGTAAGGCGAACGCCCTACCCGCTGTGCTATCGCTCCAGCCCTATGTATTTAATTATGTATTATGGTCTATACATTGGTTAGGAATTGTGTAGCACTCATATATGAGCACTGTGTGCTTCTGTCATTAAAATCAGGAAAATATGAAAGCACAACAGAAAGTGGTAACAGCTGAGTTGTAAAAGATTCAGTAGAAAGACAAAAATGTAATATATATATATATATATAGCTTACATTTTTTCTCAAATTCTTAAAACAATAATACTTTCAAGGAAAGTGATAATAACTGTATATCAAAATAATTATTCACCTAAAAGAGCAAACGTTTCTAACTTTAGATTGTCTCTAACCTGAAAGAGAATATTGAAGTTTAGGGAGAGTCTATAACTAAGCCATATCCATGTCATTCAGCAAAGACCTTTTCACAAACCTTTTTGAATTATTCTGTCACCTAACTACAAAGCAAGTTTCCAGAGAAATTGGGTAGTAGATGAGGGAAAAAAGAAATCCTTTACTTCCAGACTAATGCCTCTGTGCTTACAAAATGATGCCTGATACTGAATGAGTCTGCTTAATCTAAACAAAGGTTGTTTGGTAATCCTCACTGAGTTATTTCAGACAATGTTACAAAGCCACGAGACGGACAAATAACTTATTTCCCTTATAGTCCTAAAGAAAAGGAGGAGATGAAAAGGAGATGAGACTTTTATTTTCATAGTAGATCATGTTTCTAAGTTTTCTAATCACACTTCTATCTCAATGGGCTTTTTCATGTTTGTCCCCTTTCTCTCTAAAAATTAAAGAACTGCAAGATTCAGATAACAATTGGATGCTACTAAAGTGAAAACTAGAAAGAAAATCTGGACCTTACTCTTTAAGCCAGATGCTTGTCTCTCTTTGTGTTAGGTTGCTTGCTTGCTTTTTCAAACTCCTGTTCTCCCTGGAACATGTATTCCTTTCCTCTTCCCCCCACTCCACATATTTCTAAGTATGTTTCATTCAATAAAACTATTTTTCTCTATGCTAAGAAAAAGAGAGAAATAAAATCTATTCTAAATGTTTTCCCTCTCTCAACTACATCATGCCACTTAGTAATTTTACAAGAGTAAAATATTTTAGTGGTTCCTTTATCTACCAGGATAACTTTTTGGTGAATGAAACAAGTGATACATTTTGCTCTTTCCAGCTAATAATTACTTTAATAGCATATCTTGTAGACAAAATTTAAATTCAAGTTTGAGAAAATGACAGACAGCTTTGGAAGATGATACTACGTTATCATCTAATTGGAAGCATGCAACAAAATTACAATGCCATTACTCTGTTCTTAAATGCTTTTTTTTTTTTTGCTTTTTGGCGATGCACAGGGGTTACTCCTGGCTCTGCACTCAGGAGTTATTCCTGGCGGTGCTCAGGGGACCATATGGGATGCTGGGAATCGAACCCGGGTCGGCCACATGCAAGGCAAATGCCCTACCCGCTGTGCTATCGCTCCAGCCCCTTGAATGCTTTCTGATGATTTTGAGCACAGGAGTTATCTAACTATAACTTTTTTTAAGTGTAACTTATTTCTTATCTATTGTCAGCAGATCTGGCCCTCTGCTATTTTAGACTCCCTCCAACCTTCTCCAAGAACTGTGATTTGATTTTGTCCAGTGCCTCATCCAGTTCGGACCAACAAATAAACAATATAGTCAGTATTTGCTTGAAATTCACCATGGTCATGTTGAGCCCGGCTGGGATACCCAGACTCATTTTTCCTTTTGAGAAAATAGATTGTACCCTGCCTCCTAAAAGCACAGTAGACTTGAACTTAATAAAATGACTACCATGATTTAGATGCTCAGTCACTTCCATAAAAATAGAACAATTTGGGAGTGAAATCCAGAAAGAGGTTCCTGGAGCTGTTGTTCCCTGCTGTCCAAATGTCATTGCATTGGTGGGCCATACTGGTCCTGTGGCTTAACCCACAAGGGGGAGGTGGCCGCCTCATCCTGTTACCACAGGGTGGCCGGCTAAAACCACAGGAGTCTGACCACGTGAGTGACATATCCTGCCAGGCAGCAAAGTGGAATTTCGCTGCCAGAGAGGAAACAAGGCAATTTTACAAGAGCAGGGATAATGTAAAGCAAGTCTTTGAAGAGAGACCCAGCAAGGACAACCTGACCACAAGAAGAGTGACTATTATAAAATACAGAGGAGAATCAGAGAGGCCCTATAGCTTCCAAATTTCTGAGAGAATCTAAATCAAACATAACTAGAATCTCTAAACTACACCCAAAACTATAAAGATAAGAAATGTTAGGACTAAACCAGTACAGAAATGAACAATATGGTTTATAATGAGCCCTTTGACCATAAATGAGGCATTTTCCTTATCTTAAATTTAATTTTATCATCAGTGTGGAAAATTTACCTTCCAAGACCAACACGGGTTGTAATAATGACTTCAATGGAAAAGAAATCTATGATAGAAAAAAATCGATCTGGGACCAGAGCTCATAGGGCACTTGCCTTGCATGCAGCCGACCCTGTTTTGATCCTTGGCATCCCATATGGACTCCCAAGCACACCAGGAGTGATCTCTCAGTACAGAGCCAGAAATAAGTTCTCAGCACCAGAGGTGTGGCCCCAAAACAGACAAAAACTCAAGCAATTCTGGGTTTAATTATTTTATTTTACTTTATCATATTTGGTGATTTATGATGGAGTTGCAATAGTAGAGAACTTTTTACTGAGAAGCATCAGACTCAATCTTCAATTTCTAAGGTAAAGAAACTAAGAAATTTTGTATTTCAGGGCTGAACATCAATACATAATATTATTGACTTTGACATATATTAGTTTCTCCATAGTCTTTGGATATCACCAGTTCAAATATACTGAGGTGTGCCTGAGCTCAACAAGCTGAACACACACCTGGTATGTTCGAGCCACAGGTTTGAATCCAGAAACTACACTGTCCCCCGAGAACTGATAGAAGCAAATCCCAACTACAGTTGAGAGCAGCCCCTGATCACATCCAGATGTGACCCCAAACCCAAATAACATCCCCACAAATGTGTAAATACTGGAATGTAGACTAAGAGTGCATCTTTAAGAGTCGTATCAATTAACCAAACTATTAGAGCCTTCTATTAATGTGTTCATATTCCCAAACTGAAATCCACTCCCGTTGCCCTTACACTACATGGAGTAGACAAACTTGCAAACTGGCTTGTTTTTTCCCCAGTACCACAATGCTCAAAAAGCTTTTGGAACATAAATGGTAAATTACATTATAGGGTGCTGGATATAAAGAGAAAAAAAGATATCTTTTGGTGCCAGGTTTTAAAGTCCAAGGCCTCCTATATGCAAGAATCGTGCTCTATCACTGAGCCATATCCACAGTAGAGAAAAATCTTTATGTTTTATGTTTGGGGATTACTCCAGGGTCTGAGCTCAGGGGTCATTTCTGGCAGTGGTTAGAGGACCATGCAGTGCCAAAGTATGAACATAGGTCACCTACATGCTAAACATGTACTCAGACAATTGAGGTACCTCTTCCACCCAAAAATGTTACCACAAAAAAGGATCTTCTGATACTTTCTCATGCATTTAAAGAAAGTAGCCAATAAATATCTCTCAATGAAAAATAGGATGTTGAAATAATGGGTCTCTTATTCTTTCACCAAGGTTGATTTTCCTTTCCCCTCCCCTCAGCATCCTGATTCCAAGTATTATCTGAAGAAAAGGATCACCTCTCTCACCTTGCCAATAATTCCATCCTCTGAGACAAGCAAAGTTCTCTCTAGAGCTCCTATCCTGGAATCAACACCTATCACACCCCCACCACTCTCTCCAGCCTTTGGAGGTACGAGTAAAATTGACCAGTATTCTCGGGTTCTCTTTCCAGTTGCATTTGCAGGATTCAACCTTGTGTACTGGATAGTTTATCTTTCCAAAGACACAATGGAAGTGAGTGGCAGTGTTGAATAGGAAGAAAGGTTTTCTGTAAGCTCTCATCTACTATATTCTTTTAAATACCATTGAGACTTGTACAGATTCTTTTCTGAACATGAAATCACAACTTAAAATCTGTAACACAGCTCTGAATAAGCATGTATGGGCCAAAAGGCAGCAATATTATTCCTCACAATGGAAAGCAGAAGGTTGCTGGGAAGTATGATTTTCAGTACATTTAAGAATTTTATAAAGATATAAGATGGATTTGCTTACTGTCAATCTATGTCCTTCACAGTCTAATGTTTTTTACTGTGAGTGTAAGTAGTATTTGCCACAAAGCAGATAAAATAAGAAATGCTGACACTTGTAAAGACTGCCTTAAAATGTTTATTTTGGCTTTATTTTCAAGAAAAGAAAGCAACATATAGTTGAAATATTTATCAGTAGGCCAATATCAGCATGTTGAAAACTTTTATGCTAGTAAAATGGCTTTTAGCAGCACTGTAAAGCCTGTATTTAGCTTAGCCACGTGTTTTTGAACCTTACGATGCTATTTTACCTCAATAAAGCATGGTATGTATATATAAGTGAATTATACGTAAATAATAAATTATGTCTGCCTATGTACCAGCATTAACTATACTGTACTAGTACTGTTAAATCTTGTTAGACACTCCTTTTAAAATAATGTGCACATCATAATTTCCTGAAGTTGTAGAAAACAACAGTGATTATATATGCAGATATTGTATATTTTGACCGTGGCTATATCTTGCATTTTCCACCCTACTAAATAAAACAATAATAAACATGGTCTTGTGAATTTGTTTGATAAAACTTGAAATAAATTTTCCTTAAGTTCAGAAAAAAACATGGTTACTTCACCTATGTAATTAGTGTCCCTGGTGATTCTTAGATGAAGAACAGAGGGGACAACTGGACTCTGTCACCTGGCTATAAGACTTGAACATGTATTCAATCTTTAATGTCCTGCATGCTTCACTCAACAAACTTTAATGTGCATAATTAATAAACTCTAAAAATATAAAGTAAAATATGGTGTCATAAAATCTATATCATATATTTTTAATTTAGCAAGAGTATAATTTAAATATTCTAAGAAAAGAGCAAATATTGTGAAATGCTGGGTTGTTAACTCAAAGAATAGAAATATTTCACAGTATATGCATACATCAAAACATCATGTTTTACATTTAAAATGTCTTATAGTTTTGTCAGCTTCTATTCTATTTCAGCTTTTCCTAATATAGCCCTAATACTAGCTCTATGCTAGTATTAGGAGTTATTAGGAGTCAGAGAAAGCATATGGTGTTATTTGTGCAAATCAATCCCTTATTAGTTGTACTGGAACTGAAACATCATTTAAATCACCCTGAACGCTGAACACAGAGAGAACTATTTTTGTTCTACTCCTCTTATTCATATCCAAATAAAAAGGAAAGATTTTATTTTACAGCTAAACAACTTAACAGTTTAACTGAAACAGCATTTTATTGATGTCAGGAGACAGATCTCCATCTACCTATTTATTAAGTAGCTCCATGAAGAAATTTCTTCTGTCTCTATACTTAGTTCTATCCTCACCCATAGGAAGGGTTGAGGTGGAGTGGGGATGAGGGACGACAGATCTAGATCAAATAGCCTCCAAAAATTCCTTCTAATTTGAAAAAATATGCTTAAGATAGTCTAACTGTACAAGGCCTGCTTCTACTATGATGAATACACAAAATTAGTTTCTAGGCAGATGCAGATTAGGTATACACTGTTACATTTCATTGTCCTCACAACATTGTAAAGTGCACACTACCATTATCACCATTTAAAGATGAGAAGCCAAGGCACAGAGCACACGGATATTGTGTTCAAAAATATAACAATCAGGGGATAAAGCCGAGACATACAAACAATATGTTACCTCAGAGCTTTTTCACGAAACTACAGTCATTCATATCTTTATCTAACCCAATGCGACTCTATTCTTTCACATCCTCCAGAATGCCTTCAATCTTATTTTCATTCCCTAAAATAATTTTCCTGTGTTCTGAAATCATTTCTAGCACTCCTCAATATTCATTTTAAATCCTACTGCAAAGAACACTATTCTTAGCTATGAGTCTAAATAGGTAAGAATAAGAACAATGAAGAGAATTAGGTATTATAGGCATTATATACCTTCTGAAAAAAGCGATCCAGGGGGCCAACGCTTTAGTGCAGTCCCTTGAAGGCAGCCGACCTAGGTTCGATACCTAGCACCCCATATGCTCCCCCAAACCCTGCCAGGAGTGATCCCTGAACACAGAGTAAAGATAAGAAGTAAACGCTATAAGTGATATGACCCCAAAAACCAAATATATATATATATATATATATATATATATATATATATATCTCCAGGGTAAACATAAGACTACAAAACTTTTGATTACTAAAGATTTTGAGCCAGGTGCCATGATACTTCCTTGTGTGTCTGATAATACTCAGCAATAGAAGCTAACTGAAAACAGAAGTTTCCCTGCTACTACCTTAGAGAGAGATATTGTCCCAAAGAAATCAAAGTGAAAATTTTTTTAATTAGACTTTTCAGTGCCTTTATAATAGTTATATGTAAAGAGTAAGGTGAGGACTAATAGTTCCAAAAGAACAACTTGGGAAATTCCACACTAGACATTGTTTATACAATCTCTTCTATTGCTGCTTTCCATTTACAGATAATTGATTCTCTGAATGGGGCTTGACTTACTCCAGTACTTACAGTAATTAACACTGTGTGAAACTTCAATGGAAACAAGTTAACATGAAAGGAACTGTTAGATATGCGATATAGAAAGGGGAACTTCTGGTGTAGACACCAAAGGGAAGATGATAGAGTCAGCAGAATCTCTCAGTAGGAGGTCTCAGTACTGGACTTAGACTTACTGTGGTGCTCTATGATGTACAGATATAGCTTCATATATCTCTATGAAAATAATCACAGGAAATAAAATATTTGTAGCCTCTGCAGTCTCAAGTTCTATAATTAGAAAAATGCCTGGGTAATGATGAAGCTAAATCTTGGCATGCAATAAGAGTCTAGAAAAAGCATCAAGAATTATGGACCCATCAACAGTACTAGAGGAACATTCATTGGGAAGTCATTATGCAAGTCTAGCTTTAACATAGAAAGGGGTGGTCTCCTTTACTTGGGCTTTTGACTTCTCATAGCTCTGTAAGACTTCAAATTATAAGTCTCCAAATTGAGCAGAAGGTATCTTAAGAGCAGAGATGAGTATAGTTAGGAACAAGTGCACAGAGTAAAGAAGGTATTTGCAACTCAGAGACAACTACTTAAGCATACAGACCAGAACACAAACAATTCTGGAGGTCAGGTGAAACCTTTAGAAAACAATTCTTTAGGGGGATGGGGAAATAGAACAGTGGGTGGGACATTTGTCTTGCACACAGCTCACGTGGGTTAGATCCCTGGCATCCACTATGGGCCCTTGAGTCTGACAGACATGATTCCTGAGTAGAGAATCTGGAGAGAGCCCTGAGGACCACTGGGTGAGGCCCCAAAATAAAACAAAACAAAAAATAATTCTTTATGGTTGAATTTCAGGAGTCATAATGAGCTGATTAGGGTGTCATACAGGAATAGGAAAATATATCAGAAACCACTCAACTACAAAAGCCCATTTTCATATGTTATCATCAAATGAGTTTATATATGTAAATTGCTTAGAATAGCATCAGGTATATACAAGGCACCATATGTAATTGCTTTAAGTAGTAGTATTATCATTGTCGCTGGAGTGATAGCACAGTGGTAGGCATTTGACTCGCATGTGGCCAGCCCGGCTGACCCGGGTTCAATTCCTCCATCCCTCTTGGAGAGCTTGGCAAGCTACCGAGAGTATCTCATCCACATGGCAAAGTCTGGCAAGCTCCCCATAACGTATTCAATATGCCAAACACAGTAACAACAAGTCTCACAGTGGAGACGTTACTGGGCCCGCTTGAGCAAAATCGGTGAACAACGGGAGGACAGTGACAGTGACAGTGATTATCATTATACTACATACCATATGGTAATATTAAGCATTAATGCATAATTGACAAAGTTATAGTTGAAAGCTCGGTATTCAATGTCAGGTCCATAAAATAAAGAATAATGAAATTGTTTGTATACATAATATCTGGTTCGGAGAGCCCGGCAAGCTACTGAGAGTATTCGATATGCCAGACAAAGTAACAACAAAGTCTCCAATGGAGACGTTACTGGGCCCGCTCGAGCAAATTGACGATCAACGGGAGGGAAAAAATATCTGGTACAAAAAATTTATTATATTAAAAAGAAACAGAAAGGAAACCACAATTCACAGTTAAAAAGTTTGAGTAATGCACATACAGTGCTCATCAGAAAGGTACATGTCAAAGGGTTTCACAGTTTGGCTACATTATTATATGCTATTATTTATACCATCCTTAACCCACATTTGGCAATCTAATGCTTTATGTCCCAGACAAATCAACAGTAATTATTATCTTAAATTTCCTAGAACCTAAAAAATATCTATCTTCCTCACTGCATGTTAATGAGCACATACATAATTGGGGGAAAACTTTAGATTAGAAGCATGAAATAGATCTTGACAGCATTCAGCCGAAGAGAAGGACTACATGGAGGGCGGGATCCACAGATCCCGAAGGAAAAAATAAAAAATAAACAGTTCCCAAAAAGAGCCGAGATCATCGGGAAGTCCGAGATGGGGTAGGTACTGCATCCCGCCTCCCCCAGATGGAACCCCGGTGACCAGAAACCTCTACAAGCACAGCTCGAGTATGCGGGAACTAGGACTTTTCCTTAAAACCGCGGCCGCGCGACATCTCTCTATATACAAAGTGATCCATGGGAAGTAAACCACCTAACGTTTCTCTCTGAAAATCATAGTTAAGCTTGGAGCACGGCCACAGCCCCAGAAATACAAGGACTTAATGCATAACCCAGCAGCTTGGAGCAGAAAAGTGAACGGGCT